GATAGCTTAGCGACAAGGGCTGCCCCCAGCCCCTTGGAATCCACCGCAGATTCCTACGCTACGCACCACCCACCCACCTGGACGTCGTAACGCCAGGACGGATGCGTCCCTTCGTCCAGAACGGTGGTTCGGGCCCGCGGAATGAAAATTCTACAAGCCGGCCACCCTGGATATAGACCGAGGTCTAGTAACGCTGTTTTTTTTACACAGAGATGGTGTTTCACGGTCTTATGCTGCGAGGTCCGGTACCTCCAACTATCACGTTTATAAAAACACGTTTACAATCGCTATGCTAACTCAACCGTTGTTACATCATCTCGCGACTCTAAAGAAACATCGCGAATGCCACACTGCGAAGGGTTGCAGCTGCAGCATGGGCTCTGAAAGACGAACGAAGCTACTGGCAACGCGATTATTCTCGCAACGCTAACTTTGAAATCGATTCAAAGACAAGCCGCGATAATTCGTTTCGAGATGCTATAATGCAAAAATCGCGATGTGCCCTTCCGAGCTGTTGTTGGGACCTCGTCCATTGTTGCAGCTGCAGCATGGGCGTCTGAAATGTCGGAAGGCAAACTATTGCAACGCGATTGTTTCGTCGCAACGCTAATACAACGAACAGAAATCCAACAAATTAATTTAATTTTTAGAAAGAATGAGTCTGTGGACTTTGAAAAATCTAAGTGAATTGCTAAATTGAAACGCTATTAGTTCGCAATCTTCGCAACGCTATATTCGGAGCTATTGTACTTAATAATACAAAGAAAAATCGCGACTATTTTATTCACAACGCTAACTTCGATTTCTGTTAAAAATGAACTAAAGCAACGCGTACTAATTTCGCAACGCTATGGCAAGTCGCGGACGTGCCCATCTGCGCTGATCGTTGGGGCGGCGAAGCCTGCCCATATTCAACTACGATACTACTGCTACAACTACTATTTCTACAAACGAGTGCAGTGATAAAGTGGTAACGACAATAAATTGGTCTCTCTCGACAGTTTTTCGGAGAGGCCTCTTCGGCATTTATAGCCTCTTCTTTTCTTCGGCGATTCGCCTGCTGAACCTAGAACCTTACACGTGCTCCGCAGCTAGTAGAAGATCAACGAATTCCGAGACAAAATAACTAAGTCTCGAAAAAAGTCGATAATCCTGCTGGTGCAATGGAGCCGGTATCGTTTCGTTTCGAAAATCCTAATTCCCGCGCATTCGCGTTCGCGACCGCGGAAGCTAAGAGAATTCTCGAAGGATCGATTTCGAGCCGTTATCGAACGTCTTGCACCGTTCGAATCGACTTCGAATCGGATCCTTCGAGCCCTACCCGTGGCCGACTATCGTGCGATTCGCGGCCTACCCGAAAAGAGAACGATAGCCAGCCCCAGCCCTACCTAACAATTCACATACTCCGTTAAGGCAAGTTACCTATCCTGCCTAATGCTATATTTAAAAAATAGCAAAGCGATCACTCCACGGTTCTCACTCATACGTCGAGGTGCTGTTTCCTACACGGAGAACGTCCCGGGACACCTCTGACACTCCAACATAATCATTCATTCTCATTCTAAGGTACACGTTAGTTCCTGAAATCGACTGACAATGGTAGCGATCATTGCGATTTAATCAACTTCTAGTCGAAAGTTACTTTCTCGGACGAGATTCTAATTGACTAGTAATACTGATCATTCTAAAATAAATATCATTTTGGTAGAGTTGAATTTATCAAGACTCTTGCGAGCTTTTATTAATTCGTTTCAACCGATAATAATATAAAATGAACATTCTGTGCATACATATTCCATACCGATCCACGTTGCATGATATAGATCGTGTGCAATATGTTCGATTTGAGCTAGTTTCGATTTCAAAGAACGACGCAAAATCCACTGCCTAACCACACACAAGTGGAAATTACGTCGTGCACGATACGCTAGTCATTGTGAGTCGCTATTATGGTTAAATACCGTTCCATGTGCCATTGCTCGCACCCTCCCATGTGACACTTGGATACTCGGAAGGATTCGAGCAACGAACATGGAACCTAGCATCTCTGAAAATCCTAACTAAAAAGAGTAGTTAGTTTCTCGGGCTAAGATTCTACCAATTCATAGAAAAATGTCTCTGTTTAATAATAATTTCATAATAATAATTTCAAATATGTTTAATAAGATTTCGTAACGAATAAGAAACTATTATTTTGGATTTTAATAAAATACGATTTACCTACGGCGAAACGTCTTTTTTCACGTAACCTCTAATGTAATTAGGCGGAACAAAGTTATTCAATATATTCGTACCAATATAATTTGTATAATATTTGTGTCATGATAACCAGGTGTTATAAAACATTATTCTCTCTCTCTCTCTCTCTCTCTCTCTCTCTCTCTCTCTCTCTTTCGACAACTTCGAAATAAAATTATTAAAACTTGAAACAATCGTAGGAAATTGCGACGTGTAGAAAGACTCTACCTAACTAGGAAACAGATTACCACTTAAAGGATTGCCGGGCAATCCTTTGGTCGTAATAAAAAAAAGAGTATTCTGAATGTTCACTCACTACTTGACGGGAGGAGGGACCTGCGTTAGAGTCCTAGAACAAAGAAAAGCACGAAGATATTAAAATATGTCCAACAACGTTCATAAAATTATCAATTTCTACAAACTGTACCATGTAATTTGCATATTGATGAAGATTATACTTACATCCTTTCCTCCTTGATGAAGCCCGACCGCGTTGCCTCTCGATCTCAGCAATCCACGTAGTCTCCAGATCTATAACAATAGCAAAACAATTCGATCAAATTCAATCGCTATTAAATGTGAAAATAGATTATGTGTAATAAGTTATAGATGTTTTGTGTGCTGATAAAAATAACACCTACATCGGTTGCTCTTCGGCGAAGCCCGATCGCGTTGCTTCTCGATCTTTGCCCCGTATGTGATTTCAAGATCTGTAACAATAACACGAAATTCGATTAAATTCAACCGCAAGACGATGTGAAAATAGTTTAGGATGAATAAAGAAAAGACTACGACGTACCACTTAGTGATCTTTGTTGCCGTAGTTGATAGTTTCCTTTTTAAATTTCAAGGAAAATTCGTGAAAGGGTCAGCCGAAAACCCACCCGGTTTTTATTAAATTCCATTAAATTCTCCGAAATATACGCGACAGATTTTCAAACAAAATTGACCTTGGTCGATACAAGAAATCTCCGGCGAATATCACGACGACATCTGCGACGCGATTTGCAAGGATGCTGCAACGCGGCACGCACGGGTGTTAGCAATGAAACTCGCGACGATATATGCGACAGAATTTTCCAGGAAAATCTGAGCTTTAGTTCAGTTCAATTCTCAACGACCGAATGTTCCTATAATTTAAATATTTCAGCGTTCGAATATCCCAACGACCGAATATTCCAACGATCAGACATACCCCAAGATATAATACCTCAAGAATAACATTTTCCGAATAACGAGAAGTTAGAATGATCGACCGATCCAAAATAACGCTGACACAACCTTCGCGATCCAAGGCTGCCGAGCAAATGAGCGAAGACATCTAAAGCCGCGGTCCCTTTGTTCCCATTCCTTCGACAGGGCGACACGTAATCAAATTCTGCACTTCGAAATCCTCGTGACGTATTATAGCCACGCCGAATTAATTAGGGTAGTGAACGACCTCGAGTCGGCATGAAGAATCCAACAATAACAATTCTTCCTTGAAACAGGTCGAAGCCCGCTGCTCGTTTACGACTCGTGGAAAAAAAGACCAGCCCACATCGCCCGCGTTTCTTTCTTCAGATTAAAAGCCCAGTTTAATTGCGCAAATCGACCGGTGCGTTGTTAGATCGAATTCCTTTCATTAATGGATTTATTTCTGGCTTCTTAAAATTTATAACAATTTCGTTTGTTATAACGAAACTGCGACGTTTGTCGCGCTCACTTTTTAATGAGATTTCGCGGAGTTATAGAGCTTGGAAAACTAAATCCAATGATATACTCGGTTTTAGGTGCAGACGGCTTATAGTTTCTGAGATATTTAATATTAAAATTGTTAATAACAAGGCCGAAAAGATGCGCTGGATTACGGAGCGACAGATACTATACATTATCTGCACGAAATGCATCCATTCTGCACAGACTAGAGAAATTATTTTTAGTATACGGGGTGAGCCAATAACTAGATATCTACTGAAATCATAAAAAAATATTTCACATAAAGTTAATTATGTTGGACAATGATATGATGGCTTTTAATTGATCTCGTTCATCATTAAATTACTTTAGACACCAATATAGGAAGATATTTACACGTACTCTGTATAAGGAGCTGGACTCCGTAACGATGCCGATAATAGTTTAGTTGTTTTTTTTTAATAGTTTACATTCTTCAAGATTTCGTCCTTATATGAGAATATTCTTCGATGGAAAATGAGTCATTCGAAAGAGCAAGGTTCAAAGGAGCGCGCCGTTCGGGAAACTCTCTTGTATCTTTTGAGACAAGTCCGTACTTTCTAATATTTGTAGTTTTTACGTAATGTCGCTCTTTACCCAAAATAGTGCTATTTCACAAAGATTCATGTTTTTCGAAAATATGCGAGTAATAGAGCAATTCTGCTGCCGAATTTATCTTTCGGATGACAATCTCTGCAAGGATCATTCACTGGATATTACGGATTTCCAAAAAAAAAGTTGATATTTGTTGGATAATTAAATGAGAACTAGTGCAAAATAGTTTGTTTATTAATACATTGTTACAACCAAACTAGAAATTTCGTTAAAAGTCCAAATGACAAACGCATACTTTCCTCATAGAATAATATTATACATGACGCATATCTTGAATAGAATTTTAGAAACATGTCAGATATCTTTTTGTTTATCAGTACATTCTCAAATCTAAAAAAAATATACAGGAAGCGTGTAAAACAAAAATAAGCTCAAAAACGCAACGATTAAATCAAGATAAAAGATCACAAAAATTCGTAGAAGTAATATAAAGTGTTTCTAATCTTGGCGTATCTTCGACCATCTGTCTCGCGTGACTCGTGAATAATTTTATATAACATTGTAAACAGTTTCCAAAAATCCATACGGTTTCACTCAGCTGCTGAAGAAATAGTAGATACTGAATTACATTCGCTATACTCGGAATCATCGTTCTTAGCTAGCACGTCAAAGGCCTTGTCGTCTGTTAAATCTTGGGCTGCTCGTTGTGTTTCAGCTTTTTTCATTCGATTCTGATCGTCCTTATTTCCTAAACCACCGCATCGGCATTTCTTCCTTCTGCGTCGTCTGCAGCTCATACTCCTTCTCCTCGTTCTCCTTTTACAACCCCTGCTCCTCCTGCTCCTCCGTCTGCAACCCCCGCTCATTCTTCTCCTCCTCTTTCTACCACTTCGGCTTCTGCTCCTTCTCTTTTTGCATTTGCAACTTTTCATACTCCTTTTACGTCGACGCCGTCGTCGCTTCTTCTTGCATTTGCAAGCTAAGTTTCGCGATCGCTTCTTGCGACAGATATCTAATAAATTGAGCTCCTGGGACGCGATCTCCTTACCTTTCGAATCATAGCTAAGTGGCAAAACGTAATGACCACCGTTATTCTTGAAAATACCGTATGCCACGCCACGCTTCAGCACTGCTTGCATCTGTTGCCCAAAAAAAATGATAGATATTTCTCAGGATCGATGAAAAACCCTTGGAACCTGATTAACTTAATCTGAACGAATGATTTACAATTGATCGGATTCGTTTGAATATTTCAGCTCCTTAGATTTTAATGTCTTGGGGATAATTTCCAATTACTATCATCAGCTTTATTATACATAATGTTGCCAGTAATCTACTCAAAGCGAGGGTATCTGAACTAACGATTCTAAGCTTTTGAGGATGTACGTCTGTAACGTTATTCTAGTTAGCATGATTTCGTCAGATTTAAAGTGTTCGAAATATATTTTTGAATGATCGCAAACGAAATTATAACCATAGAGCAAAATGTGTTTAAACTTTAGAAGTTTACATTTTAATAAGAAATAAGAGAGGAACAACGGGTATTTATCCATAAATTGTTGAACACACTAATTAATATGATTCACTTGATTCACATCTGCGGATTTTGATGGAGCTTAGTTGTATCCAAGTATGCAACAAATATACAAACAATGTGCAACAAATATACATGAAATGTGCAAACTATTCAAATTATATCGAATTTCTTTTATAATGTAGATTATAAAGTGTAGAGAGAGACTTTGACGAATAAATTTATTCCGTAATCTTCTATATGGACAGTCTATGTAGAAAATTCCGGATTCAATTTATTCGTTAAACTATAAATTATAAAAAAGAAAATAGATATAGTTTGAATAAACACATCTTTGATATTTGTCCAAGGTAGTATAAAAAAAACATTCATTTTGACCTTCTTTCAATGAAGTCCTTGAATGAGTTCGATAATACGAAAAGAATGGTTATCGTACATTTACCTAACGTATTGTGGAAAACTGCATGGATATAAGTATAATCAGA